AAAAAAAAAACGAACAGAACGAAAAAAAAAAAATCCAATCGAATCAGTGGATTCGATTTTATCTTGAATATCAAGATCCAATCGAATCCAGTGATTCGATTGGATTTTTTTATTTCTTGATTGATTGATTGATTGATTGATTGATTGATTAAAAAAAAAAAAAAACGTGACCTCCTCCTCCTCCCTCTCCTCCTCGTCCTCGTTTGCCTCTTCTGCGACGTCGTCCTCTTCCTCCTCCTCCTCCTCCTCCTCCTCCTCCTTCTCGCCATCCTCCTTCTCGCCATCCTCCTCCTCCTCCTTCTCGCCATCCTCCTCCTCCTCCTTATCGCCATCCTCCTCCTCCTCCTTCTCGTCATCCTCCTCCTCCTCCTCCTTCTCGCCATCCTCCTCCTCCTCCTCCTCCTCCTCCTCCTCCTCCTCTTCCTCCTACCCTTCTCCACCCTCTGTATGGTAGTGTAGGCTGGGCGCTGTGCGCCAGACAGAGATAGCGACTCTAGATACTGTGTTGGTGTGGCCTACGGGCTTGGACATTGGCTCAATACTTCATTGTATTGCTCTTTATGGATGGTTTCCTCGGTGCATTTGTACTCTCTACTTGGGATAATACTACGTGCCCAGCGCCCAGCCTGCTGCAATCAATCAATCAATCAATCAAGAAAAAAAAAACGAACAGAACGAAAAGAAAAATATCCAATCGAATCAGTGGATTCGATTGGATCTTGATATTCGATATCAAGATCCAATCGAATCCACTGATTCGATTGGAATTTTTTTTTCCGTTCTGTTCGTTTTTTTTTTCTTGATTGATTGATTGATTGATTGATTGATTAAAAAAAAAAAAAAATGTGACCTCCTCCTCCACCTCCTCCTCCATTTCGGTCCTTTTCATCATTTTGCGGATCCTTGACTCTCACACCCTGCAACGATGATGAGCGTTGATCTGTAGTTCGACATTGGTTGGGGTTGATAATTGATGTCTAGCATTCTGCGGCGCTATCTTTTGCTCCGTGTGAATGGTCGGTTCTTGCTCTGTTAGTACCAGTTCGGTACTTCACAGTTTGCTATCTCGCCTCTTCTCACATGTATGAAGTATCATTAGATGTCAGGTCAGTCCCTGTCAAGTCGGGTTTCGTATCCAAGTCATTGATGTCAGGTCAGTCCCTGTCAGGTTAGTCCCTGTTTGGATGCAAACTGATACAGATCAACCCCAACCAAGGTCGAAGTACCAGTTCGCATGTATGAGGATGAACATTGATCTGTAGTTCGACATTGGTTGGGGTTGATCTGTACCACTTTGCATGTATCAGGATGAACGTCGATCTGTAGTTCGACATTGGTTGGGGTTGATCATTGATGTCTAGCATTTATCGGGATCCGAGCAACCAATTAATCAATCAATCAATCAATCCTACTATCTTTCAATCAAACGACCAATTGAACCGCGGTTTTTCTTTCTATTTGTGCAGGTTATGATCGAAGGCAGTAATGCAGATGCTGGATTACATGCGACAGAGATATACATAGAGAGAGATAGAGATAAAGATAGAGAGAGAGAGAGAGAGAGAGAGAGAGAGAGAGAGAGAGAGAGAGAGAGAGAGAGAGAGGTGGTTGTGTGATATCCCGACCAGGATCACGAGGGAGGTTCACCAGCCTCCCGGACGGGGAGGCGCCTTTCCAGGAGGCCGATGAGAGTCGACAGCACTGGCTGCAAGGGAAGCATGCGGTATGGGAATGGGTGCGTCAGGGGCAGGAGGTGGGAGTGCGAGGAAAGGGGCAGTACAAGTTGCGTTGCACGTTGTGCAACCACATATGGGTTGGGGGACGAAGGCAGAGGACCACTTCACCCGCCCGGCTGCGCATTGCAGATTTCGTACAGGAGAAATTTTGTACAAGTTAATGAGAGACGGGGTCTCCATCACGGACCCAGTGGGGAGGGCTATGGCAGAGAGGCACATGGATGTCCGCGAGGAGGAGTTGGAGATGGAGGACCTACGGAGGGCCGATGACGCGGCCACCCCTGCTGCACGCATGGCAAATGACCGGGCTGCTGACCACGGAGACGAGTCGGGAGGCCGAGGGGCGGATCCCCCCATGACGGATGAGGGACGGGTTGGTGATGTGCGCGTAGAGGACGAGCTCACTATGCTGAGAGAGAGGATACGAGTCCTCGAGGCGGGGCGACAGCCGACCCGCGCGGATGGCACTTTACGACAGTGTTCGAGGCGGGGAGTGGACATGGCGTGGCTCTCGACGGAGGGCACATCTGGCCCATCGGGCGTCATCGTGCCCCATGATCGTCGAATGCTGCAGACGAGGTTGGATAATTGGGCCAGTGGGGGTTTGCAGCAGCAGTACGAGAGGTTGTGGGCGAGAGCGTTGTTCAGGGTTGGGGTACATTTCTCGTTCATGCGCCTCGAGACCACGCAGGAGCTGCATGACTTTATGGTGTCATTGATGCGGGTGACGATTGGACCAGCTTTGGTCCTACCCTCATACACAGACATGCGCACACGGCTCCTAGATGAGATCTACCACGAGATTGCGAAAAAAGTTGCGCCGAAGAAGGCGAAATGGAAGCTCACAGGGTGTACCATGATGACAGACGGGGCTACAACGAGGTCGTACAAGCCCGTCGTCAACTTCATTGCAGCAGGCGAGGACGGGCCAGTCTTGATCACCACCATCGATATGTCGGAGAGGGACAAGACTAGTGTGGCACTCGCAGATTTGTGGGAGGACGTCATCCGAGATATTGGCGTTGACGTTGTCAATGCGTATTGCACTGACAATGCTTACGCCAATAAGGTGGCTGCGCAGCGGTTGCAGGACCATCCCGACAGCGCCATCTCTCGGATCCCTTGGCTCCCCTGTGCGGCCCATTGCTTGAGTCTCCTCCTTCGAGACATCACGTGCTTCCAGTGGGTGCGCCCTATTTTGAAGAACACACACAAGGTTGTGATGTTCTTCAAGAACATTCAGAAGGCCCTCATGTATCATCGCTCCTTTAAGGGCCGAGGGCAGCTAGAGCTGATCCGACCATGTGACACACAGTTCGGGTCACCATTCCAGATGGTGGAGCGCCTTACCGATCAGGAGCGCATATTGAGGGTGTTGTGGGCAGTGTGAGATGGCGCTCCACCCCGTGGAAGGGGAAGGCAGCCCAGGATGAGCGCCCCGATCGACAGCTTGTGATGTCCGACTTGTTTTGGGAGAGTGCGCACCGCGTACAGGATGTCATGCAGCTGGCGTATAGTCTGTTGCGTGACATGGATAGGGACGGTTCTTCCCCCCCCACCCTGTGGGGGGTTGTGGACAGGATCAGACAGCAAGTTCGCGACACTGGTCTTTCTGAGGAGGAGGAGACAGAGATTTTGGACAGGGTGGAGTACCGTTGCAGCATGATGCGGCAGCCAGCGCAAGCGCTCGCATACCTGGTGGACCCGCGACGACGAGATGTGTCTTTGTTGGCGGATACTGGCAGCACGGTTGTGCAGAGTGCGCTGGATCATTTGTCCAGGTTCACTGTCGATGGCTCGGGGTCAGAGGAGCACGGTAAGTTGTGGTTCGGTTTGTACTTGTTCCACCATGATGATCCCCACGCGAGCCCCAGGCCAAAATGGTGGACGGATGACAAGGTGAAGGCGGACGCGGGGAGGATGCACCCCGCGTATTGGTGGTATCTGCATGGTGGTGACTTCCCGCGTTTCCTTGCGAGAGGAATTGGGCCTCGCACGACTTCATTCACTCGAAGAGGCGCAATAAACTCTCGAGTGACAGTCTGCGGAAGCTCGTGTTCATCCATTGGAACATGCAGCTTCTGCGAGCTCAGTCGGGTCCCCGGAGGGGTTTCGTGGATGTTTGGGAGGATATGGTGGAAGATCCGCCGGAGCCGCAGGTCGGCGCTGCCTCTGAGGAGGTGTATGACGACAGCATGACGATCCTTGAGGAGGTGGAGGCAGAGATTCGTAGTCGGCGCAAGGAGGGGGGGGATCGTGCTAGTGCACGACTGTTGCAGGGGCGGGACTACGAGGATGAGGACGAGGAGGACGTCATTTACGAGGCGGATGACATCTGGGAGGGGAAGGACATGATTGAGGAGATTGAGGCAGCAGGGAAGGGGAAAGAGGTAGTGTGTGATGACCCTCTCGTCTCTCGTGTGTGGGACAGATTGGGGGGCCTTGACATTGTGGATGACCTGGACGGCTACCTGCATGGCTCCAGACACACCCTTCATATGATGAAGGACATTCACGAGTGTCGCAGACCGGATGAGGGGAGTGCAGGGGTTCAGCAGGACCGTCGTGTGGATACGGGCTTTCGTGCAACCACCTTCGACGGTGAGGCAGGCTCTAGTGCAGCTACCACAGAGGTAGGATCGACACGCACGGCGGAGGTTGTAGCCCCCCCCCCCGCTGCTCCATCGTTTGGTATGCCATCTGTTGTTGGGATAGGAGCGGAGCATTGTGATGCCCCTGTCCCGGGTCGTGTAGCACAACAGCCATGTCCCGCCGTTGAGGAGCAGGGGAGCGCTCCTGTTCCTGAGGAGCAGGGGAGCACTCCTGTTACCGACGAGCGTGTGACACATGCCACTGTTTTAGAGGAGCCGCATCCCGTTGTCGAGGATCAGGTGACAGGTCCCGCTGCGGAGGAGTTGGAGGCCGCTACCGTCATCTCTGGGCAGCAGACTAGGTTGGACGGCAGGGCGCGGGAGACAGAGGGTGTTCCCACATCGTTGTCGTCCCTAGCGCGGCATGACCCATCTGCGTGTACGGGCACGGATGATACCACCCTTGCACCCTTCCATTCAGAGGTGCCCCTTACTATCGGGGAGGCTATGGCAGGACATCACACTGGGCACCCGTGTGTGATGGAGACAGCCACACAAACAGGTATTGTGCAGCAGGAGGGAGCTGTTACGGATGAGGGGGGCCACGAGACAGACATAGAGCCCCCTTCCACGGTCGAGGAGGTTGCTCCCACATCGGCAGAGGCCCCTCGTACATTAGAGAGCACGGAGCCGCACACAGCGACGACGACGACGCTTGGAGGGAGTCCTGGAGCTGGGGTGACTTCCGCTGCACTTCGACCTGTGTCATTCTATACTGTTGTCGGCGAGAATACCCTTACAAGGGTATCCGCCCTGGTTTTTGCAAGTGACAGAAAATAAGTCTAGTATAAAGTATACCGCGCGGGGCACGGCAGCGTCAGTGATTTATGCTAGCTGAAGGTCGGCTAGAATAAAGTGTGTGGGCGCGCATGTTTGAGGCGCGCGTGATCCTTCCCCTCTTTGGTTGCGACAAAAAACGTGGCATGAATTTCGGCCGACGTGCCATTTTACGACAGTTGGTTGTTTTGATTAAGTTAACTAACTTGGGGACGTCCTTTCCTCCGGTTCCGCGTGGTATGTTGGAGGGTTTGGTAAGCCAGTGTGGACTTACGCAGAATCCAGATGATGGGACCTGATGGATTCGGCCGGGAAAGGGTATCTGCGGCACGACCGGGTGGTTGCTGCGGCCTTTTGTGGCCATGGGTGTGAGTACGGGCTACGAGATGCTACGGGGTGGCTCCTTTGGCCCCAAAGGGCTGGAGGCTACCTCTTCATTAGGTGGATTAGGCCTGCTGGTACCTGGCTTGGGCTTAGCCCTATAGGTTAGAGCATTGGACAGTATGCAGCAGGCGCACGGATCGAGGCCAACGGCGTGCGTCGAAGGAGCGAAGGAAAGGCTCGAGGGGTTGATGGGCCTATGGGACCATCCCCCTCGCCTTTTGCCAGTGGACGCAATGACGGGTCCAACCTGCGGCACTGGCGAGGTGCCAGTAGCTCCCCCGTTCCTTTCTCGTGTTCGTTTTATTTTATTTATTTATATATTTACTCATTTATTTTAGTTTTATTTTATTTTATTATTTATCTTTCCCACGGATATTGGCGGTCCCGTCCTATTTTGGGACGCGGTACCGTGTCAATGTCTGAAGAGCCCTGAGGGCCGGTAGGAAAAGGGTTGACCAACGAGTTTTCTTGAAGTATAAATCAAGGAACAGCGCCAGCCCTCCATTGACTCCGGGGAAAAGCCATGCGAAAGCGCTACCTCGGCGCATTGTGCAAGGGGATATGTGGTATGACCGAGGGCCTGGCTGCGCTAACGAATGTCGGGGGCAGAGCTACGACAGGGGGGGCGATGGCCTGAGCGGTGAGGTGGAAGTTGTAGCGATGGGCGCAACAACAGGCAGTAAGGCAGTGTGCTTAGAGGGGAGATGTGTATTGGGTTGCACTGAGCACGAATGGGTGTTGTGGAGTCGCTGCAGCCGGTTGAGCTGCGCTAAGTAGCCGTGGTGGGCACTAGGGCGTGGCAGGTGGGACAACGGGTGAATGGACATGGACGGCGAATCGCGCCAGGTGCACGCACGGAAGGGCCAACGGCAACAACGATCGGAGCAAGCGACGACGGAGGTAGGCAATGGGTAGCAGTGTGCCAGGGAGAGGAGCATCGAGCAGCGGGGCAGCGCAGGGCAGGAGGGACGATGGTCGGAGCGTCAGGGAGGAGAGAGAGTCGTAAGGGGTGACAGGGTGTAGGAAAGAAAGGGAGGGAGTGTTGAGGCAGTGAGTGAATCGAAAAGGGGGTTGGTGCCAAGAGCACGCGGAGGTGGTGAAAACGCTGAGGCAACGAGGCGCCGTGCAAACATCGAAGACGGGTAGCGGGGTACAACAGCGGGTACGAATTGTTGCTACGCCTAAGGATCGTTACTCGTTGTTGAGTAGCCACGACTGGGCGAAGTTTGATAAGGTGATCAGACTGCACATGAAGGAGGGGAGGTGATTGCTGCAGTTTTGAGGAACCACCAAAGGGGGGAATTGAGCCCAACAGTTTGCACTGCAGAATTGACCCAGCTGTTGCTTGTTGGCAACCATTGCGGGGCCCTCAGGAGTATCCAAATAACAAGGCCCTCTCCAGTAAAGATTGAGAGCACCATTCTTGTATCTGAGAGTCTCAAACCATCTTCCTCTATCCTTCCTACTCTAAGTCTGGTCTTGTTCTGAGAGGAAGGCGGCAGGCGGGATTGCAACCCGTAGGTCCGCGTCAAGACTTTGTCGGGAGTTCACCCACCGATTGCGGGAGCTCTGCCGGGACTCAGGAGGAGTTATGGAGGCAGGGAATCGTCAGGTAAACCATTTCCATCTATAAAACCTACTACCACCCATGTTTGTTTATCCCCCTGCAGTATGACTGTTGTATGCATGCGGCTGTCCCTATGGTTTTTCTTTCTTTCCAGAACCAAATCAAACTGAATGGAAGGAACGTGTGAGAGTGAAGCCTAAGTTTCTTCTTTATTTTGACTGAAAGCAGACTAAGGTATGAAATGGGGGGATGGTGGGAAAAAGGCAGTTTTGCATGCGTTTGGAAGGGTCAACCAAAGCTTGAGTATGTTTCTACTGTGAATGGCTCAGGGCTATGTTTATTTGGCTGTTTTCTGAAGGACCAGGCATTGTTTCTACTGTGAATGGCCTGGTTGCTATGTTTATTTGGCTGTTTTCTGAAGGACCAGGCATTGTTTCTACTGTGAATGGTCTGGTTGCTATGTTTATCTAGTTGTTTTCTGGAGGACCGGGCATTATTTCTACTGTGAATGGTCTGTTTACTCTAGTTAACTCTGGGGGGTTGCCTGATTGAAGGCGTTTAAATTCTTGTTTTATTCGGAGGGAGGATTTATGGTCTAAGGCTAAGCATTGTTTCTACTGTGAATGGTTTAGCCCGAAAACCACGCACGTGAACTAAACTAAGTATAAAGGAAAGTACTTTATGTATATTTGCATGTGAACTGGCAGCTGGACATAGTTTCCACTGTCAATGACCAAGTGTTAAGCCATATCATTAAGAAGAAAAAGGAAAAAATATAAAGTATAAATGGAAGTAACCAGGGCAAGTTGAACATTGTTTCTACTGTGAATGGTTCAGTCCCCTGCCCATATTTGTCTTTTTTTTAAGACAAAGTCAGAAAAATTATTAAATTTTGGTTATTAAACAATTCAGGGCGGCTAGGCATTAGTTCTATTGTGAATGGCCTAGTCATATGCCCAAAAGAAGAGAGAAGTAGTTGTGCAACCTGTTCGTGTATACCTTAAAGACAAGTTGGTCATTGTTTCTACTGTGAATGGTCCAACTCTATGTCTTATGTAAGATGGGTA